CTCACACCGGGCCCGTGTGCATGCCCAAGATCCCGAGAGGAGAATGGAGGAAAAGGGATTACGGCATGGCCATCCCCCCAGGGGGTGATTTCTCGCTTTCTGTCTCTGTCTTTCTGGCGAGCACACATGCCCTATAGCAAAAACCTCTCAAAAAAACAAAAAAGAAAAGAAAAGAAAAAACTGGATATTTCAAATTTTCAGTTGAAAAATAATGCCTTCGGCACTTACTCTCTGGTATCCATCAAATTAGTGATGCTAACCTGTAAGATAAATGTGTGGTGTTTGCAAGCACGGATGTCCGAGTGCTGGGGTTACAGGAGATTTTCGCTTTTTTATTAAAAGGTTTTTTGCTATAAGGTGCATGTGCTCACTGAAGAGACAGAGAGCGACAGAAAGCAAGACATCGCTCCTGCGGGGCACGGCCACACTGCGGCCCCTCCTCTTGCATTCTCCTCTTGGAATTTTGGGCATGCATGCACACATGCCCAGTGTGAGTTCTAAGTCACCGGGTCCAGGACTCGAACCCGGATCAACGACGGGGGAGTCAGGTGATATAACCATTATGCGATCTGCTGGTCCCGCGTATGAGTTCTATACTCAAGAGAGGCTTCCCAGGCTGTCACTGGAACAGAGGGAGCCCTGTGTAGGGAGGGCAGTCTGGCTTGGGCTGCGGAGGCCTGCTCAGGGCAGCGAGGACGAGCGTCCATGCAGGCCCAGCCCAGCATGTGGAGTCGGAGCTCCGGAGGGAGACGGGCACCTGGTCCGCTCCGGCCCGCGGCAGGTGTAGAGCAGCCTTGGGGCCGGTGCCAATGCCGAGTGTCACAGCCTGAGCAGGGCGGGGGTGACCTCACTGCCAGTGCAGTAGGAGGGTGCCCCCGGGGGTCCAGTCCACACAGGTCAGGGGTTGTCCCACGGTGCAGGGCCAGTGGCAGCCGCAGGAGACAGGTATAGCCAGGAGGGCTGATGAGATCGGTGGGCAAATTAGAGGCAGTGGCAGTCCCTGCTGGGAGCGACCCACAGCGAGGCTGGGTCAGCTCTCTGCTCAAGAGAAGCCACGCTCCACAGGCAGCCGTGAGTTCTGCCCCGGCCGGGGCAGCCGGGCACACATTGGGAGTGCA